CGGCACACGAGGTGGTGGGTATCCAGCACCACACACAGACGCACTCGCATAATGCGTATGGTCACGTGGGTGAGTGTCAAGGCTGTAGGAACGTCACCTGTGTCAGCAACACGTGGCATGTCCACACACGTGTGTGGACACGCGGCATGTCCACACACGTGTACAACACGTGGCATGTTCACACACGTGTGTGGACACGTGGCATGTCCACACACGTGTACAACACGTGGCATGTTCACACACGTGTGTGACACGTGGCATGTCCACACACGTGTGACACGTGACATGTCCACACACGTGTGACACGTGGCATGTCCACACACGTGTGTGACACGTATGCAGCCCCCCCACCACCCCTTCTCGAATCTCTAGGACTCTCGAGGACTCCCTCCAAATTATCTGCGCTCTCCGTGTGTCTCTCTCTTTTCTGTCTCTCTAAACATACTCTCGTAATGTCCCTTCCCGTGCCGTTTGTGTGTGTGTCTCTGAGACTCCGTGTCTCTCTCCCTATCTCCGTGTCGCGCTCTCTGTCCCCGTGTATCTGTCGTTCTCTGTCTCTCCGTGAATCTCTCCGTGATTCTCTGGATCTCTCATTGTCTATGACCGCCCCTCCCCTTTCTCTCTGCGTCTCGGTCTGGATTCTGTGTCTCTGTGTGCGTCTCTCTCCCCGTCTCTCCGTGATTCTGTGTCTCTGTGCGCGTCTCTCTCCCCGTCTCTCCGTGATTCTGTGTCTCTGTGTGCGTCTCACTCCCCGTCTCTCCGTGATTCTGTGTCTCTGTGTGCGTCTCACTCCCCGTCTCTCCGTGATTCTGTGTCTCTGTGTGCGTCTCACTCCCCGTCTCTCCGTGATTCTGTGTCTCTGTGTGCGTCTCACTCCCCGTCTCTCCGTGATTCTGTGTCTCTGTGCGCGTCTCTCTCCCCGTCTCTCCGTGATTCTGTGTCTCTGTGTGCGTCTCTCTCCCCGTCTCTCCGTGATTCTGTGTCTCTGTGTGCGTCCCTCTCCCCGTCTCTCCGTGATTCTGTGTCTCTGTGTGCGTCTCTCTCCCCGTCTCTCCGTGATTCTGTGTCTCTGTGTGCGTCTCACTCCCCGTCTCTCCGTGATTCTGTGTCTCTGTGTGCGTCTCACTCCCCGTCTCTCCGTGATTCTGTGTCTCTGTGCGCGTCTCTCTCCCCGTCTCTCCGTGATTCTGTGTCTCTGTGTGCGTCTCTCTCCCCGTCTCTCCCTGATTCTGTGTCTCTGTGTGCGTCCCTCTCCCCGTCTCTCCGTGATTCTGTGTCTCTGTGTGCGTCTCTCTCCCCGTCTCTCCGTGATTCTGTGTCTCTGTGTGCGTCTCACTCCCCGTCTCTCCGTGATTCTGTGTCTCTGTGTGCGTCTCTCTCCCCGTCTCTCCGTGATTCTGTGTCTCTGTGCGCGTCTCTCTCCCCGTCTCTCCGTGATTCTGTGTCTCTGTGTGCGTCTCTCTCCCCGTCTCTCCCTGATTCTGTGTCTCTGTGTGCGTCTCTCTCCCCGTCTCTCCGTGATTCTGTGTCTCTGTGCGCGTCTCTCTCCCCGTCTCTCCGTGATTCTGTGTCTCTGTGTGCGTCTCTCTCCCCGTCTCTCCGTGATTCTGTGTCTCTGTGCGCGTCTCTCTCCCCGTCTCTCCGTGATTCTGTGTCTCTGTGTGCGTCTCTCTCCCCGTCTCTCCGTGATTCTGTGTCTCTGTGTGCGTCTCACTCCCCGTCTCTCCGTGATTCTGTGTCTCTGTGCGCGTCTCTCTCCCCGTCTCTCCGTGATTCTGTGTCTCTGTGTGCGTCTCTCTCCCCGTCTCTCCCTGATTCTGTGTCTCTGTGTGCGTCTCTCTCCCCGTCTCTCCGTGATTCTGTGTCTCTGTGTGCGTCCCTCTCCCCGTCTCTCCGTGACCCCCACTGTGCCGGTCTTCCTTCGTCTCCGTGCCTACGCCTCTGGGGTTCCCCGTCCATCCTCACCTGCGATTTCCGCACCCTTAATGAGCTCGCCAATTAGGCTGATGGGAGGTGGAATGGAGTGGGCGAGGGGCGGGGCTGCCTCCGCGGGGGGTAGGGGCGGGGTTCACCTGTATGGACCCCCCCCCCACCACACACCTGGGCCCACCACGTGACCCCGCAGGAAAGAGTCGAGTCGCAGAGGCGTCGCATGAACACGTGTTTATTGGGATTTTGTAGCGCGACAGTCGTCAAGAGATAATTAGTAAATTAATAAACACGTTAATTCATGAATCGTGTAGACAAGTTGACACGACGCAGCGGCGGTCTGGAGCACCGAGCGTCAGGCGTCCGACGATCCACACGGAGACGCCAAAGCGAGGCTCCCTCCTCGCGATGAACGGACCGCAAATTGGGTTCATCACGATTGGAATATCGCGACTCGCGGGCGGAGATTCGATAACATTCTCGATGTGTGTGTTTGTGTCGTTCGTATCGTCAGCCGCGCTCGCTCCTTTAGCCCAAATGCGCCATCAATTTTCACGCAGTTTGCGGTGTAGGCGCTGCGCCAATCCGGATTGTATTGTATTGCATTGTGCAATTTGCATAAATATCTGATAATCGATTAAATAGATAAATCGTTACATGCCTGGGGCGCGGGAGGTGGGGGGGGGGTAGAGGAAAATAAGTTGGGGGAGAGAAGTATTTAATAAAAATACCAGATAAGGCTCACTGAGTTGTGTAGCTCTTTTGCAGAAGCGACGTGGCCACAAATGACAGCTCAGCGAAGTGGCTTAGCACGTGGACATTTATAGCAGCCAAACACCCCAAACACGTGGTGGTGTTGATTATAAATGTGGAGGAAAAAACCGGAGGACCCGGAAATACACAGGCGACCTCCTGCATACCAGGCGAGGGAGTTAACATCTCCTAGCCACCGCGGAGCCAAGAATTAAAACGCGTGAGGTGGAACGCGCGGAGGGAGAGGGGAGGGTGGGGGAGGGGGGAGCCGAGATGCGTGGGACGCTGGGGGGTGAAGGGGAGAGGCAGAAGTCAAGATGCGGGGAGAGACAGAGTGGGGGGGGGGGGGGGGGTAAATCGGAGATGTCGGGAAGAGGGGGAAGAACGATACCAGGAGTGGGCCATGGGGCAGCGTGGGGGGTTAAAGAGGATGGGGGAGGGTTAGTCAAGATGCGGGGGGAGGGGGATGAAGGGAGGAGGAGGGGAGGGGCAGGAGGGGGGAAGCAGCACCACGCTCTACGTCATCTAAAGTCACGCGTCACCTCGAGGTACCTCATCTGCTGACTCGGCATGCATGCTGCAAATTAGGCGTGACGCGGACAAGTCAAACCCCCGCTTGAAACCACGGGTACACAAACACATCAGCCAACTCAAGGCAAGGCGAAGGGGCGGTCCTCGAGGGCAGTTCTCTAGGGGCTGCGGGTTCGGGGGAAGACGGGAGGATTATCGGGGTCGGAGGAGGTCACGCGACCCCATGCAAACCGTACGCGAGCTGCAGGGAGGGCGTGGTTGGACATTGAGAGCGCGCCGCTGCCTATCTTACAGACAGCCAAGCAAAGCCGAGCCTCCGTTGCGCATACGAGACATCGACATCGTCGTCGTCATCAGCCATGGTCTATCCACTGCCGGATGCCCAAGCCGCCACCCATCTCTCACACGAATGCACGCAGCACTTGCGCACGAGTCGATCTCATCGTCATCATCATCATCCCCACCTGCGTCGTCGCCACCTGCGTCGTCGTCTGGGACGCGTTCCGCACCCTGACTGCCGCAACTCCGCAAAGGAACGCCGTGGTCACGCGACGCTGCTGGATGAAGGCCACGTGTCGCGACCGCGCTGGATGAAACCGGTTTTGACTTCTCGTACAAAGCGGTAATGGATTCATAGAGCCCCAGAGGATGATGATCTGAGTCGACGTCGGCCAGAAATGTACATCTCTTAAGATTCTGACGGTGCTCATCATCTCTGCTGGTGGCCCTGAGCAAAATGATGGACATTCCAGATTCTCGTGGCGGGGGGCATGTTCGTACATTATATTATAGCAATTGGTGTCGGCTTAATCGGTGCTATGTTGTTTGATGTTCTGATGCTCACGGGATGATCAGGGAGGAGAGGTTAAAACACTCCGTCCCCCCACTACTTTCATCATCGCATTGGAATAGTCCAAACCGCGTGAGGCAACGCAGGTGCACGGCGAGGGTTGGACGATCCCAATTGCGCGCTGGCGGACGATTAATAGGCACAAGTGTTGCCCTTACACTTCGATTAACATCACGAAAAAAACCACACTCAATAAAGGAATTAGCCAAACATCAATAGCAGGACCCTCCTGAAAAGGAGAAAGCAAACAGAAGCAACGCTCCGTACTGTCTCCACGTATAAAATAAAAACTAGTTACAGTCCATCGGCCTCTTTTCTTTCCAGACCAATATGATCCAGCAGCATTTTGTTTAAACAATCTCTGGAGCGGTTTCAACCTTCTCGGTTTCATCAGCAGAGTCAGACTTAAATATTGATTTAAAGCTTTCGGGATTCATATTCTTGGTTCTTTCGGTAAAGTCACGTAGAAGGGAAACAATAAAATAATAAAAATATAAAACAATAAAATTATCACGACATTTCGACTGCAACACAAGCAATCATCATCAGGTGTGATGATGATTGACGTTTCGACTGCAACACAAGCAATCATCACCACACCTGATGATGATTGCTTGTATTGCAGTCGAAACGTCGTGATAATTTGATTGTTTTATATTTTTATTATTTTATTGTTTCCCTTCTACGTGACTTTATCGAAAGAACCAAGGATATGAATCCCTGCAGTCACGAAAGCTTTAAATCAAAAAAGTGTAACCAGATGTTGTTGGCGAGGGCACTCCCTCTAAACCAGTGAGTGGTTATTCTTCTCCTCAACTTGGGGTGCACGCATCACACACCCCCAGGAGATGCCCTTTCTGGGGGATGCGAGGCACGTCCAGATTATTTTTTTAAAAGGTAAATAATCGAAAACACAAATTACGCACGGGCACGTTAGAACAACTTACTTTGTTTAATCAACCCCGATGTTTTTGTATTAACATTACACATTGTTTTAACGATTGATAACCAAAGGGATGCAAGGCTGCAGTCAAGCTGAAGAAGCACTGCTCTACACTGAGGGCTATTGAGACTCATTGAGGTTTTGCGTGGCAGCGATTCGCGTCGGTGATCTAAGCACTTGGGAGCCTAAGGGTCGGTGGATCACGCAAAGATCGGTGAGATTTCCAAACCCGCTGAGCTGCGAGGTGGCCATGAAAATGCGCAGCACAGCACGTGGGTTTCGTGAACTCGCCTGTCCAGCTGTCTGAGTGTCACCCTCGTATGCGTGGTGGGGTTTCTCCCGGGGTCCCACTCCCCCCACCCCAACACACGCACATACACACAAAACAAACACGATTAACTTACAAAAGAAATGTCCCATTGTAGCAGGGACCCTCTTGAGAACTAGTTTTGAGACTCAGCCGAGGCGTTCGGGGGTAAATGAACTCCATCATAATCATCATCAGTGGCGGCTGGTGGGCAAGTGAATTGTTGATTGGGTACACATTCTCTCGGGGGGTGGTGGGGGTAAGGGGGAGGGGAATCGGGGGGGGGCAGTATGTGGGGGTTGTAAAGGGTAAAGGTGCAGCCCTGCAATTGCTTGCTCGCACCACTGCTGCCAGAAGGGCCTCGCTCTTTCACGCTGATCATGTATGTGTGCTGAACTTGTTGTTGTGTCGCAGGACCGTGACAGATGATGACGGCACGGAGAGGTCTTCATCCAGCCAGTATCACGTACGGTGGCTGATAATGTATGTACGCTGAATTTCTGTCGCACCGTACGTAGCCAACCGTGCTAAACTAGACGTCTTGGAAGAGGTGGGGGTACCCACACTTTACCCCACCTGCCAGATTTGCTGTGGTGAATCCACCCCTACTGCTACCAAGGGGGGGGGGGGGGCTAGGCTTAGCGGTGGTGGGTGGGGGGCGGGGGGGAGAAGGGGGGTGGCTGATTTAAGAAACTGGCACCGTTGTTTCAACTGCCGCGCCCGAAGATAGAATCTAACTGTCCCTGAAAGTTCAGCGTGCCTACAATGACAACCAGGGCAGTCGGAGGGGGTAAATATGATTCTTCTTGTTTCATCATTTTGATTTTGGCATAAAAAAGGTCCCGTAGATTTCACTGCTCAACCCGAAGCTACCATCATTATCATTGTTGTTGAATCTTGATTTGTTGTTGTTGCTTTGATAGTGCATTGCCTTTGTACTGTTCGCCTTTTGGCTGGTCTCTGGTCTAACACTGGCGGTGAGACAAGGCCATAAAGGAGGCTGGTCTCTGGTGTAGTAGGCCAATCAGTTTCAAAGACAATGCCCATATTATCAGAGCACGCTTGTTTTAATGTGTCGCCACATGTACTTGTGTGGTTTATGCAGACTCGGTGCCTTGCAATAGGTGTCTATTGGTGTTTGAACATCTGAACGCCTCCTGCGGTTTTGGCCATGAAGGGGCAAAGCCGATTCTTCTTATTTCACCATTTTGAGAGTGGCAATAAAGGTCCCGTAGATACATGTAAAGGTTGCGTTGCTGTATTTTTGTTGTGTTGGTGTTGTGTTGTCGTAGTTGTGTTGTTGTTGTCCTGTTGTCGTGTTGTTGTACTGAACCACCAACCTCCACCACCACCACCACCACAATCATCCCTATAAACAAAGCAGCGTCGTGATCACCATCGTTCACTGCTCGGAACCTTTGCTTATAAATCACGCAGCACGAGTGCAGGGCCACACCTGCACCAACTTCATGGCTTTTGCTCAGCGGACTAGCCCCGGAGCTGTGGAGATCGTTTTCACATCAGTGAACATTACATCACCCCGACTCCCATAACCCCCCCCCCCCGCGGCTGTTGTGCTGCACCCATATCTGCTCCTCCACAACCCACCCCCCACCCCACCACAAACCACCTCGCCTACCCTCACTGCAACCCTCACCACCGTAGCTCGCCTCTGCACCCCCCCTCCCACCTGGCGAGATTCACACCCTGCTAGGACGTGTGCGCTGCTTGCCTATGTGCGTTCGCAAGCACATGAAAGACGAGCAGGAGCCGCCGCGCCCGCCGGCAATGAGACAGAAGCGAAAATTTGGCTCGATAGGTCGGGCGGATTGAGCCTCCACGCGCGAGCGAGCGAGCGATGTGTAGATCGTTAACGCCGCAAATCTCTCCCTCGTCCTCCTCACCCTCCTCGTCCCCCAGCTTCATCTCTGTCCATCCGCTCCTCGTGATCTCCACGGTGCCGCTCCCCTGCTCGACGTCACCTACTCGGCTTCAGCTCCAACCATCTGCTCCACGCGATTCGCCTCCCAGTTCCACATCCGTAGCTCTTACCCGCGTCATCCTGCATGGCACCCGTGACCCATGCCATCCATTCAGCTCCATTTCAATCCACGCGATTCTTTCACTTTCTGATAAACCCATCTGTTCCATTTCATCCCGACGGATGAACTCATCCGCTCATGCCATCCCCACATCCATCTGAACCACGCGTGATCCGAACAGCTTCGGCTCCAGATCCATCCCGCCGCTCCATGAAATTCCCACGGCTCCCGATCCACGTCCGCGATCCTCATCACCCCCCACCTCTTCCTCTATGCCTCCATGCCACGTGACTCAGTTCACTTCATCAACTCAGATCCCAAGTTCTAACGTCATTCTCAAAACACCACTCAAAACACGCCACCCCCCCCCCCCCCACCCCGAGCGCGCCACGAATTCCCCCGGCGGCCACGCCGCGTCGCGCGACCCAGGTCAACGTCTCTCGCTCCGTCTCCTCCACCTCGGCGCTCGTCCCTCCTTTCACGCCTTCTGCTCCACGGAGGCGAGCGCCGCCAGAGCCTCGTCACCGCCTGGCGCCGGCGGCGCGATCCGAGCCGCGAAGGTCGGGGACCCCGCCTCGCCGTGCGGCTCCTGGGGGTCAGGCGGAGGGGTCTCCCCGAGCGCGCGGTGGTGGCCGTGGTCGTCGGGCAGCGTCTCGCTGCCGCTCAGGATCTCCACGTTGTTGGGGTCGATCTCGAAATCCTCCACCTCCACGGCGTCGCCCTCCCTGAACTTCTTCACGGTGAAGCTGAAGGGCGGCACCTTGAAGGACGAGGTGTTGGAGCGCGCGCCCTTCTTGTGGTCGGGCGTCAGCGACTTCTTGATCTTGTCGCGCTTCTCGGGTGGCACGATCTTCCTGCCCAGCGTGTCCACCTTCTTCTCGATGTTCTCGCGACTCATGGCCTTCTTCATGTTCTCCATGCGCTTCATGCTGGACGAGCGCTGCGACGCCGTGGAGGACGACGGCGTCCCCGGGGCGGCCGGGTCCGCGGGGACCTCGGCCGCCACCCCGTGAGCGTCCCGCACCTCGACCTTGTCGTCGTCCCCCCGTCGCGTCTCCCCCGGAGTGGACGGAGCCTCCCCGGCCGAGGCGTCGCCCGCCGAGGACGGCTCGCCCCCGCCGTGCGCCTCGCCCGCGTCCGCCGACGCCTTGTGGCGGTGCGTGAACGTGCTCTTGATCTTCTCGCGCTTCTCGGGCGACACGATCCTGTTCACCTTCTTCTCGAAGTTCTCCCGAGAGAACGCCTTCTTGATGCTCTCCACGCGCTTCTTGCCGGTCCGGCGCAGCTTCGACGCCGTCGACTCCACCTCCTCGATCATCTCCACGTCCTCGTCTGACGAGAGGTTTAGCGCCTCCGCGTCCGCCTCGAACGGGTTGGTCGACTCGTCCACGATCTCTTTGGGAGACGCCTCCAACACCGACGCCTCGGCTCCGTTTCGTGGCTCCGCCCCACCGGCTCCAGCCGCGGCTCCGCCTGCAGCAGCCGCGGCTGCTCCACCTGTGGCCAGCTCAGACTTGGAGCGTTTGCTGCTCGTCGCGATGGAGATCGGGGCGTCGGAGCCCTCCTGAAACACACAGAGCGTGCACGCACGTTACACAGATTGCTTTGGTTGCTCGTCATCATCACTTGTTGAATCGTCATCATCGTCAGGACGTGGGGAGAAAGGTGCTGTGTGTAGATGGCAGGATCGGGAATCACCTGACTTGAATTGAAACCCCTAGACCAAGATTTTGGGTCCCATATTTCAGAACCAAATTACAGGTTCAGATCCCAGTTCCAAGGTACTAAGCCTCACTACCCCGGTCCCAGATTCCACGTCCCATCTTTCACGCCCTCCGTTCAAATTTGGGCTGCGGTAAGGGCCACCATCACCAATTGCACCATCAAAAACAACCCCCACCAACACCCGCGTCCCAGCCAACGTTAAGATCACCATCGCTCGCGGTGCTGCGGTACGGCTCTCCTAGGTGCCTTCAGTTCGTGCCGTGCGTGGTCCATGCCGAGCTGCATGAGGTGCAACCCGACCACACATCACAGAGTTATCATCGCCTGGTTCTTCCCACCTCACACTCAACTAAAACTTCTTTTTGTTATTTGACCAGGTAAGGCCCACTGAGCTGTGTAGCTCTATTTCGGAAACAACATGGCCACAAATGATAGTTCAACGTAGTGGCTTACCACGTGGAAATTGATAGCAGCCAAATACTCTCAACGCGTGTTTCTAAATGTGGAGGGGAAAACCGGAGGGTCGGGAGAAAAAAAAATGCGACCACGGGGAGAGAGAGAGACACAAGCAAACTCTAAATATACAGCAGCAGGCGTCAGGGTCGGGATCGAACCCACGACTTCCTGCATATCAGGCGAGGTAGTTAACATCTCGTCATCCTCCCCCCACCCCTCATCACCCCAACCCTACCCCCAACCCTGCCCCCAACCCTACCCCCAACCCCACCTCTGCCCAGAGGGCGTCAGAGTTGAGCTGCCACTGCCATTACCACCGGCAATGCCTCCCACTCAGCCCCACCACCCTCACTCCCCCAGAGCGGGGGGGGGGGCTTACAGAGACAACAATCAAAGCGCTGAGCCGGCACGAGGTGGGGGGCTCGAGTGGGGGACGGGGACCGGATCGTGCCTCTTCTTTTGGGAATGGTTAGAGATAGGGGTAGAGTTAGAGATAGAGGTAGAGTTAGAGATAGGGGTAGGGTTAGAGATAGGGGTAGGGTTAGAGATAGGGGTAGAGTTAGAGATAGGGGTAGAGATAGGGATAGAGTTAGAGATAGAGGTAGAGTTAGAGATAGGGTTAAAGATAGAGTTAGGGTTAGAGATAGGGTTAGAGATAGGGGTAGAGATAGGGTTATAGATAGGGGTAGAGATAGAGATAGGGTTAGAGATAGGGGTAGAGTTAGAGATAGGGGTAGAGTTAGAGATAGGGGTAGAGTTAGAGTTAGAGATAGGGTTAGAGATAGGGTTAGAGATAGGGGTAGAGATAGAGATAGGGGTAGAGATAGAGATAGGGTTAGAGATAGGGGTAGAGATAGAGATAGGATTAGAGATAGGGGTAGAGTTAGAGATAGGGGTAGAGTTAGAGATAGGGGTAGGGTTAGAGATAGGGTTAGAGATAGGGTTAGAGATAGGGGTAGAGTTAGAGATAGAGGTAGAGTTAGAGATAGGGTTAGAGTTAGTGATAGGGTTAGAGATAGGGGTAGAGTTAGAGATAGAGATAGGGGTAGAGTTAGAGATAGGGTTAGAGATAGGGGTAGAGTTAGAGATAGGGGTAGAGTTAGAGATAGGGTTAGAGTTAGTGATAGGGTTAGAGATAGAGATAGGGGTAGTGTTAGAGATAGGGTTAGAGTTAGATTTAGAGTTAGTCATAGGGTTAGAGTTAGTGATAGGGTTAGAGTTAGTGATAGGGTTAGAGATAGAGATAGTGATAGGGTTAGAGATAGTGATAGGGTTAGGGTTAGAGATAGAGTTAGAGATAGGGTTAGAGTTAGTCATAGGGTTAGAGTTAGTGATAGGGTTAGAGTTAGTGATAGGGTTAGAGATAGAGTTAGAGATAGAGTTAGAGATAGATTTAGAGTTAGTCATAGGGTTAGAGTTAGTGATAGGGTTAGAGATAGGTTTAGAGTTAGAGATAGGGTTAGAGATAGATTTATAGTTAGTCATAGGGTTAGAGTTAGATTTAGAGTTAGTGATAGGGTTAGAGATAGGGGTAGAGTTAGAGATAGGGTTAGAGTTAGATTTAGAGTTAGTGATAGGGTTAGAGTTAGTGATCGGGTTAGAGTTAGATTTAGAGTTAGTGATAGGGTTAGAGTTAGTGATAGGGTTAGAGATAGGGGTAGAGTTAGATTTAGAGTTAGTGATAGGGTTAGAGTTAGTGATAGGGTTAGAGTTAGATTTAGAGTTAGTGATAGGGTTAGAGATAGGGGTAGAGTTAGATTTAGAGTTAGTGATAGGGGTAGAGTTAGAGATAGGGTTAGAGTTAGATTTAGAGTTAGTGATAGGGTTAGGGTTAGTGATAGGTGAGTGTGGATTGGTGAGACGGGGCACGAGCAGTTCAGACGTCGCTTGCTGCTCATGTTGAGCATCGACGCGAATTGAAATCGGGTCACCGGTTTCATAAACATTGCGCAACTAAATAAGGGTTATCAATCTGTATGAAGTGCACACGTGTCCAGACCACACAGTTTTTTTTAATCAAATAACGCACAGCAGATAATTATTTGATAAAAGCAAGCCCGAAATTTCACCTGCCAGGGCCACGCAGGGTGATGACCGTTTTTTACAATATAGTCGAACAAGGTTTTGCTGGCTGGCTGACGGGAGGGAGGGACGGCCGGGCCACGTCCATAGTTGTTATTTACAAACAAATATGGTCCAAAGACGGCACATAACAAACTTCAAACAAGTTGTTGCTTTATCAACTGTCCTTTGTGTCAATCCACTGCTGGATGAAAATACCTCATCAAGCCAATTCACGCGCGCTGGTCACCCAAATAATTCATAATCGGCAGCCATGCTTAATCCCCTGCTGGGTGACGGCCACCCCAAAACGTCCTTCATCTCTCACGACCCCTCATTGTTAATCATGCACGCGAGCTGCCCATCTCGGACGCGTTCCGCTCCTCTGCTGCCACTCCGTCGTTACCCTTGACCACTGGCCATCGTCCCTTCGAGCCGTGACGTATTACGTCGAAGCCCACTCTTGGAATGGGTTGAATGATGTCACGGACCCGCATAGATTCTCGAATCAACGCCCTCCTCTTTCTGTCTCTCAATATAATTCCAAGCGTGTTGCGTCTTTCCACGTTTTTCTCCGCACACGTTGCCGTTGTTTGTTCAACATTGTTGCGTGCATGCTCGTGTTTGTGAATCACACTGCCATCGCAGGTCGGTAGCACGCGCTTAATGAAGCAAATGTAGGCACATGGGCATGTTACATTTCACACAAATATCTCGCTCGCACTAAACGTTTTTCCACTCCATGGGCCACCAATTCCATCTCTTAGCACTTGCACGCACACACGCGCGCCCGTGTACTCTTCAATCAACCTGCCCGCGGCCGGTTTTCCACAAAACCCGGTCCGTGGATTCCACTCGGAATCTGGAGCCGCTGAGAGGGTGAATAACCGAGGCCTCTCGGACCCTGGGCCCCGGGGAGGAACGAGATGGGGCCGCGTGGCTCGAGTTAAATTTAGAGAAACACTCATCAGCTCCAGCGCGACATATGTCGCTTTCTATAACCAGAGTTTGATCCACTGAGCAGTCGCATGGTGGGAGACTCTCCCCACTCCCCCCTCTCTCCCTGTGTTGAATCGCCAAATGATTCAGTGGTGCTGCTGCTGCCGCGTTGTTGGCATGGCGTCCAATTATAAAACAACAAAAACAACTGAACACATTCGTGAAAAAAACACTGCGGCCTTAAAAGAGAAAAATATATAAATGTTATAAGTAACGTTTCGGACAATGATCCTTCTTCAAGCGACATGCACTATTAAGAAGGGGCATTGCCCGTAACGTCACAGACAACTGTACGGTTTACAGTCGTCCGTGACCACAGTGTTATAGACGAATGCCGTTGAGTGATGGAGCTGATGGTGGCGAGGTTTTAGAATGGAGTTGACGTGGCCCCGTTGGCCAGGTGGTGTCTGTAGCCCGAGCCGCTACGTGGCCACCCGTTGGCAGCACAGCAATGGAGCTTCTTAAATCCATCTGTGCGAATCTCTTGGGAGCGTTCCTCTCCCCGGGTCGTCGGCTTTCTCGGTTCCCTTCCACGTGCTGCCAAACTCTCGCTAAATTCAACGCATTGGACACTCGTCGCAATGTAGCAGGGCGCTCCTGAAAGGCAGCCGCGAGACTCTTTGAGGCTGTTCTGGGTAATCCCATAATGAGTATTGATCTTGTTTATGAGTGAAGCGTGCAGGTCGCTAAGAGTGTTAACATTGGCGCCGGAGGTAATGTCTATTCCCCGGAGCCCATGGAAGCCCCACTGATTGAGGTCAAACTTCATTCGCCTCACCCCAGACCGACACCAATGTTGCCGCTGAATGGCAGTGCTAGGTGGTTGTGGTGGGGCAAATGTCTCCCCCAGCGCCCTGCCCTACCGACTCTCCCTGCTCCCGCACTGCCCCCCATGCCCCCCCTGCCCCCCTGCCCCCCACCACCCCTTGCATCCCCACACCCCTGTCCTACCTTGCCCCCACCCCCGCCCACCGCTCCCACCCACCGCCCCGCCCCTCCCCACGTGCCCCAGGAGGACACCCTTACCTGGTAGACCATGATTCGGAAGTTGTTCCTCTTCATCAGCTCGGCGTGGTTGGCCTCCAGCTTCTTCACCTCGTGGCTCTGCTTGTCGAGGCGGACCCGCACGTCCTTGACGTTCGCGCTCACTTTGCGCGCCTTCTCCAGCACCTGCCTCACCGCGCCCGCCGTGGCCGCGTGCGCCCGGCAGAAGCCCTCCACCTCCGCCTCGATGGCCTTCACCGTGCCCTCGATGTCCCCCTGCCGCTGCTCCATCTTCACCTGCGACTCCTGCACGCTCTCCACCGTCTTGAGGAGTCGCTCGAGCAACGCGTGGACCCCCGCGGTGTCGACGGCGGCGCCCGCGGAGTCTTTGGCCACGGCGCTCAAAGACGACGGCGTGGCGCGACCATCGCTCTCGGCCTTGTGGAGCTCCTCGGCAGCCGTGAGCTCCGCCCGAGGCGGCTGCTCGCCCATGGTGGACACTAGCTGGGCTACCCCCCACCCCACCCCTCTTCCCCGCTCCAATGATCTGCTCGCCGACTCGTTGACAGCGCGCACGCACTGGCTCGCTCGCTCGCTCACCTAACCACCTGCTCACTCGAGTATTCAACCGCTGAATCGACGACTTGCTCGCTTCGCCCGCTCGCTCAACTCAACCGCGCTCTCTTGCTCATTCACTCACTCACGCACGCGCTCGCTCGCTCGCTGTCGCGCTCGCTCAACAACAATTCACTCCGCGCTCCCTGGCTCGCCAACTCACGCACGCACTCGACCAATTATCTACCCACTCACCCTCTCGCTCGCTCCTCCCCTCTCGCTCGCTCACTCCGTCTCCCTCCCTACCACCCTCTCACCCTCTCGCTCGCTCAACCCGCTCGCTCCACCGGACTCTGCGTCCGTCACGGCCGCGCTGGAGGGACGCGGGGTGAGAATCCGTGCGCGGCGCTTTGCAGTCGCGACTCAAGCCACCTCCTGCCCCGCGGAGCTGCTGCTGGGAGGGACCAAAGGGGTGGGGAAAGGTGGGAGTCGCAGGGAGGCTGGGAGGGGGGTTAGGAGGAGAGCCGGGGAGCTTGGGGAGAAGCGGAGAGCCAAGCACGCCCAGAGCCCGGCTCGGGTTACTCGTCGAGAGAGACACTATTCACAGAGTCTGCGTGGAGAGGGAGGGAGGGAGTACGGGGGAGAGGGGTGGGGGCGGTGAGTTGCGGGTGGGTGGGGAGAGTGGACACGAGATGGGGGGGGGGGCGAGGGGAGGGGATCTCTCTGGTGGGAGATGCAATGCAAGCGGTGGCTTTGAGGGCTACACCGCTTTCGCAGTCAGCATCGGTCTCGCTGATTCTCGCGTTCTGGGACCCACCCACCCACCCCATCACATACCCAACTCACTCACCCCATCCCTCCCCCCTTCTCTTGCCTAACCCCCCGCCTCCTACCCGCTCCCCTACCGGGATTTAAAATTGAGAGCGGAGCAGAACATATTTGCGAGTGCTGCATTGGGATGTTGATGTTTAATAAACAGACGGTATCATCGCTCCGAGGCCCGGTCAGACATCATCATGGAGCTCAAAACATCGCCCTGTTTACACGCTTGCGTCCGTGTGCTATCCGCAGTAATAATAATAATCATCATAACAAAACAAACTAAATACGTCGCCGACAAAAAAAACGCGTTTGCAATTTCCACGTGAATCAAAACACCGTCTCATCACTGCCTTTTTGTCCCTGAAGCCTTTGCACGCTCACACACTAACGGGCTCGTTCCCCTTGAGTGCTCATCAGCAGGGTGCACACAGCACCGGTGGAACGTGCAGCCCTGCGGAGATTGGAACCACCGTGAAGTGGAACCGGGTCAGATAGTGCAAACCTTGTATCGTTGACAAGTTCGACTCCAGGGTTGTAGCTGTCCAACCACAGTGGTTGGAGCAGTTTCAGCGAGTCGATGGGCTCATCATCAATGACTTGCACGTGATGTCCGGTATTGTTCGGATAAATAAGACGCCCCCGGAAAATAATACGTACCCCAAACGTGTACCCGATGTCAATAAAGTTAAATAAATCTGGTCACACACACAGACAGTTGCCGAATTATATATAAAACGATCAGAAACACGTACTTTCTAGATGATAAAAAAAACGCATTATTTGGTGATGTTGCTACTGCTGCTGTGTTGGCAAAGTTGAAAAAACACAATGAACAAAACAACGCCAACACTTTCGTCGATAACCAACACAACAACGCCGCGCGTGTCTGCGTGTGTGTGGCCTGAAAAGGCGACAAGATGACCATCTTACCTATAATTATACATACATAACAGGCGACGTTTTGGGTAAAGGTCTCTTTCGCCGCAGCACATACATGCGATTGCAAGACGCCCCCTGCCCTCCTGTGCTTTAAAGCAAACGTCGGGTCATGGTTGAGCCTCATGATCTGGAGAGTTTACGGTGCATTTCAGTTTGACTGCCATACGACGAACACCTTCCTCTCCCCCTCTGCAGCAGGGCGTGCCAGAGAGAGAGAGAAAGTGCATCGCCGCCCGGTGCGGCGATGAGATATGTCGCTGGGCAGGGCTTCTCAGAAGCTGTTCCATGGTATCAACGTCCGCGGGGCGTTCTCTGCCGCACGCCACCAAGGGGCTGCTCGTCTCGTGTCGTGGACGTCGAGGGCAAAATATTGCATGGGAAAGCGGAAGAGACAAATGCATAAATACAATATGGCAAGTCCTCGCTTAACGCGCGGTGCTCGCACAACGCGTTTCCGTGAGAACGCAGTTCCTACATCAGGGGACACCCTTCGCACGACGCGGAACGCGCCCGTTGTAACGCGGAGCGCGCCCATTATGACGCGGTTCATGAGCGGTTGACGACGAACTACATTGTTGAACTGCGCAGCTGATCGGTGTGATCCAGTACGCAGGATGACACAGTTACGCGGTGGCATACCCTAAGTTATTTGTCTCGCCATCGTATTGTGTGTGCGTGCATCGTATCTCGCGAAACTGTATCGTTTTGTTATCAATGGGAGAAAAGTGTTTTCGCTTAACGCGATTTTCGCTTAACGCGGCACTTTTCAGGAACGCATCCACACCGTTAAATGAGGACTCGCTGTAACCGAGAGACACGGCCCACCACGTCGATGAAAGAAAATCAATCTCAACACCTCCCCTCCCCCTCCCCCCGAACCTCCACCCCCATAGCCCGCCCATCACTCTGCTCATCGCCACGGTCACCAAAGTGAATTCGCGCTCACTTCGAGACGATGCTCAGTCCCCTTGCGGACAGCCCTGCAGAGCCAGGGCTGGGAGCCCTTCCACATTCCTGTGCCAGCGGCAGCGGCGGCGGCGAGACTGTCCATAGGACGACCACTACTGTTGACTTGCTAAACGAGCTTCGCTAATTGCTGGGAGGGGCTTGTTTAATGAACGAGGCCGGGCTCGCCCCGGGCTCTTGGCGACTCTTTGTCTCTCTCCCCCGCTCCCTCTCTCCCCTGACGCCGATTTCACCCGGCACCGCGTGGCCGAGGTCGACCCCTGCCCAGCGGGGAGCGTGGAGCCCACCATGCACCTGCCCCCCCTCCTTTTATTGCCGGGATTTGGGGTGAGTGGTGGTGGGGGGCAGAGTGGAGAGGGGGAGGCGGAGTCGGGGGGGTGGAGAGTGGGGGGGGGGGGGCAAAGGGGACGTCCACCGTGGGGAGATGGAGCCTTGAAATAATTTCTAGCGAAACCGCAGGGCCCTGGGTGGGATCGTGAAATCGCATGCGGGATGGTGAGAGACGGCGACGGCTTGCGAGAGGAGGCCTTCATCCAGCAGTGGATTGACCGTGACCGTGACGATGTGTCGTGACGTTGACAGTATCGACTCTGATTGTGTTTGTTGATTTTCTGCACAGCTCTTGAGGTGATGACCCCAGCACACCCCCCCCCCCCCCCCACAATGATGAGTGTCACCCCCACGTGGTCTGTGTCACCCCCACGTGGTCCGTGTCACCCCCACGTGGTCCGTGTCACCCCCACGTGGTCCGTGTCACCCCTACGCGGTCCGTGTCACCTCCACGTGGTCCGTGTCACCCCCACGCGGTCCGTGTCACCTCCACGTGGTCCGTGTCACCCCCACGTGGTCCGTGTCACCCCCACGTGGTCCGTGTCACCTCCACGTGGTCCGTGTCACCTCCACTCGGTCCGTGTCACCCCCACGTGGTCCGTGTCACCTCCACGTGGTCCGTGTCACCTCCACGTGGTCCGTGTCACCTCCACTCGGTTCGTGTCACCCCCACGTGGTCCGTGTCACCTCCACGTGGTCTGTGTCACCTCCACTCGGTCCGTGTCACCTCCACTCGGTCCGTGTCACCTCCACGTGGTCCGTGTCACCCCCACGTGGTCCGTGTCACCTCCACTCGGTCCGTGTCACCCCCACGTGGTCCGTGTCACCTCCACGTGGTCCGTGTCACCTCCACGTGGTCCGTGTCACCTCCACGTGGTCCGTGTCACCTCCACGTGGTCCGTGTCACCCGCGCACGTTCACAAACCATCACCGCGCGTACGCCATCATGGACCCGAATTAATGGCAGCGGCGTAAGAAGAAGAAGAGGAGCGCGGGCGTGGGGGCAGACCGACAGTCTTGGTGAGCCATGGGGGACGGGGAGGGGCGGGTGGTAAGGAGAGGCCGGTGGAGGTGGGGGAGAGAAAGGGGGGACGGGACGGAGCTACATTCACCCCCGATTCCAATCCCAGACAATCAGCACGCGTGATTGCGCGCGCCTAATGCGGCTTAATCCGTTAAGTAAAGGATGTATTGGGAGGGAAAGCTGCTGTTACTTGCGCCCCCCACATCCCCACCCTCCACTGTTGTTTGTTTTGGGAAAAAGAAGAAGGGCAGGTTAGCCCATTTCATGCGTGGGTTAATGGGTCAGGCGAAGTGTAAACACGGCCACGCGTAATGAACGCTGCTCGTGCGACGCGTCATTGCTGTTTGCGGGTCCCTTGGTGTCTGCGGAGTGCTCTTGCCAGTAGCTTTCTGCTCGCCCAGCAGCATTTCTCACTCCAAGTCTGTCCCTGCTGAAAGCAATAAACGCCGTCTGTTTAAGTAGAGCCGATCCAATGTAAGACTGAGATCTCGGTGTGCGTGCGTCAGTCAGCACGTGTTCCTTACGCGCGTGCACGCTTGTTCCACGTGATGCGTGTGCACGTGTCGCACGTGACGCAGGCAGCGTCGGTTGTTTAGCGCGTCACGTGGGATGCCTTAAACAATCATCGGGCGCGCGCAGCGTGGAGTGGAACGAGTCAATTTTTTTAAAGGTGGGGCGAGTACATTGGCGACTGCGGAAAGACGGAGCGTGGTTGGTGGTGGGTCGAGACGTCTGGATGTTTGGAAAGCCCGACTCAGGCCAATGTAACGAAGAGCCAAGCTGCACTCACGTGACAATCCACTGCTGGATGAGGGTCTTCCCAGGCCGTGCGGGTCGTGAGGGGTTATCTGACCAGTGTCGCCTGATCAGGCTGGTTGTAATTACTGGCGAAACGTCGTACTCGAATTGTATGAACTCTCCAACACACAGGTGTGCTGAACTCGTAACTAATTTAGGTGTTTTGTTTGCGTGACAAACCTTACTAATTGGCTGTGTCGGGTGGTGGCGGTTTTCACGACACATTTATATATTAACGCGACCTAACCCCCCCAAAAACCCCTCTTAAGGAGAGGAGACGCCACTTAACATCCTTACAAACATAGGCATTTCGATCAATCTACTTGCTGTGCTGCCATCCCGTTCGCATGGTCAGCAGATGTGACGGGCGAAACACGCTACCCCACCCCCTCCCCTCCGCTAACCCCACCCCGCCCCGCCCCTCACTCTCTCTCTCTCTCTGCGGTGGGGGGGGGGGTCACGGTGTCAGGTTCAGCGAGGAGACAAAGAGGCGCTGGGATGGCTTCGCAGGTTCATAATGGCCGTGTCAGGCAGGCTAAGCTGCCGCCCCTGAAATCCTGGATTCGGATCGGCTTTAGGTGCCCGTCTCTGATTAAACGGGGCACTCGAACGACGGTCTCAGTCGCGGCCACCAACGACTCGCAACACAGCAGTCCGCTCACTCACCCAAATAGCCGTAGAATTACGGAGAGACCACGACATTGACACGTGTTCATCCATTGACA